GTTTATTTTTGTGTATGGTGTTAGAAAGTGTTCTAGTTTCATTCTTTTACAGGTGGTTGACCAGTTTTCCCAGCACCACTTGTTAAAGAGGTTATCTTTTTTCCATTGTATATCCTTGCCTCCTTTGTCGAAGATAAGGTGACCATAGGTTCGTGGAACCATCACTTTTTTAAATAATAGGTCCTTATTGGTTATATATTTTAAATATATTAATAGTAATGTGTGCATACCTTTACTTTCTTAATGTAGAGGTGTGTATTTATTGAATGAACCTAATTCTTTCACAGTGAATTTTTGCTGTATCTTAATTTGTACTCTTATTAGAAATCAGCTCATGGTCTAGATCTAACTGTACTTTTTTGGTTTGTTACAGGTTGACAGCTTCCTCCTGGAAGCTGTGCATCTGGGGAATTTGTACAAGATTGTCATAGCCCATGATGGGCTTGGACCAGGTAAGAGTCTTCCACAGGTAGATAATCAAGGTGCGGCTCTGCTCTATTCTTGTGATGCCTCGTATAAATCTAGAAAAAACTGTGGAAGACTCGTGATGAAGTGGTTTCTCTGAGGCGTGTGGCAGTGCTCCAGGCATGCCCCTGGTGGATTCCGTGTCTGCATGCGGTGACAGGGACTGTCCGTCACGCCAACAGCGGCACCTTCAGGAAGCTGTCCGGGCAGCCTTGCTGTTTCCTGTGGCGTCCTGTCTCAGCTGTGTGTTCTGCTGCCGTTTTTGTTCTCACTTCTTCCTCAGGTTTCCCATCACTTTTGTGACTTGACCCACATCTTCATTTTCTGCTGAAATCCTTTAACGAAAGACACGAGTAAAGTGCACATACCACAAAAAGGATAAAAAAAATCCCAAAGCATCAAAGAAGATGATAAACTCTTTTGCTTAAAAATGTCAACCTTTAAAACGTTAAGAACAGAGTTCTCATACCAATATGTAGTGGATATGTGTTTAAATAATTAATGAGGGACCCAGTCAGGTGACAAAGCTAGTTCAAAAGATGTTACACGAAAATAAAAAATATACATTTGTAATCAGTGAAAACAGGAAGAATGATAAATTTGACTGACAAATTAAAAGTATGGCTAATGTCCTAAGATAATAAAAACATACCTTTGAGACTATTTTCCCTTTTGGACAAAATTCACTTACATTTTTGTCAGATCAGAGGCTATTGCATCTTATTTTTCTGCCAGTTGACAACTGATTTTACAGAGTCTGGGCTCTGATCTATGGTCAGTACTAAGTCAGGTAATATTCCATTTCTGCAGCGAGTCAGATGACTGCCCAGCAGGCTTATTGGACAGTGAATGCTCTGGTAGGATTCTGAAAGGACATGCTAATATGCCCAAGTAACATACACAGCAAATTCAATTCGAGAAATGTATGTGGTGGACCTGCTATGTACAGAGTGCTGTGCTGAGTATTTTCTATGGTAAATATGAAAATACTTTTCTGTTGTTTAAAAGCTGCCGCGACTGTGGTATTTCCTTACAGCAGCCCAAGCAGACAAAGACAATATTTTAATTTGACAGTTAATTTTCCCATTTTGTCCTGTTCCAAATACCCAAATAAAATGGGATTTGTGTTATCTGTGAGGATTTTCATGGTTGCTGGCACAATGTGAGTATCCCATGGAGCCTGCATTCTCCAGAAGAACTGTTGTAGGTCAGCAACATGGATGCAGGTGTGTGCAGTTATTTGAAGGTAAATGTGTAGGAAATGAACCGATAAGTACAATAAGGGATAATATATGACAACTAAGTAGGGCTCATGCTGGGAAACTGAAGGATTGTTCAGTAATAGGAAATCTATTAATAAAATACATTACCTTAGAAAGTTGAAGCAAAAAAATTATCTGTCAGCAGTTAATTAATATTATTAAAAATTCTTTCAAAATTTGGAACAGAAAAAATATTTTAGAATTATTTAACTCAAGATGACCACTTAATAAACAATGAAATACATGAAAGTTAGGAATATGATAAGGATTTTTCTCCTTATGAGAATACTCATTCTTTGGAAAGTAATATATGTATTTTTACGAAGCTTTCATTTTGGAAAGAGGAAGGTAAATTTATTGTCTACAGGTGATAGAAGTGTCTATTAAAATGCAAGGAGGATCAACTGAAAAATGGATGAAAGAAGAGAATTTATAAAGTGATTAGAATTTAAATCAATATACAATAACTGGAGGCTGTTTTTTCTATTGAAAATATGAGATATAAAAGCTCTTAAGAGTAGCAGCAAAAATATATAGAATATATAATAATTAACATCAACAATGAGAAATACATGCCCCTCTGAATTATTAAACTGGCCTGTTCTGAAAGCCATATTGAGAAGTAATAGGAAACTCTAGCCAGGACCGTTTGATTTGTAGGTTCTATCTGTCCTGAGGATTAAGCGAACCTGTTTGTTCCTTAACGACTTATTTACCAGCGACCTCAGCTGGCACTGTGTTCCTGTTCTGATTTGTTCTCTTTTGGTGAGAGAGGTGAAGGTTTTGTGCTGCATGTATTTACAGATTTCCTTTAGGCCCCACCTGCCTGTTTGTGGTGCATTGGCAGTTAATACGAGTTAAAGATTTTGTTTAACCAGATTGCACCCAGGTCTCTCCATTTTTTTGGGCAAAAGCAATCTGTGGCAAGATTTATTTTTATATAAGGTAAGATCTCAGATTATGATGGAGAAATTGCTGCAGTGGTTTCTTTACAGAAAGACTGTTGGTTACTCCACAACCCAGTGGAGCATCACAAGTGAGAAAATGATGAACTGGAAAGAGGTGGGGGTGCAGTGCTTGGACATATCTACTGGTGTTGAACAAGAGCTATCACAGACTCAGGAGAGAAAACATGAAAGACAGGGTCATATAGGGAACGATGAGGAATGTGGCTCGGCTCAGGGATGGGCATGTGGTGAGGGACAAAGTCCAAGACTAAACAGAGACCAGTCTGTGACCATGTGCTGTGTTAGAGTCTACAGCTGATGAGTATTACCTCGGCAAGTCAAGCAGTTTTAATTAAAGGAGAATACATTTTGAGCTGGCCCTTTGTATAAATAAAACAATGATGGCTAGTTAAAATAGTTCATTTTATCTATAAAATTAAATTGTATTTTAACCAACTCGAGTTTACAAGTTAATATAAATTAAACATTTAAGAATAGACCATTATCATCATTAAACTAGCTCATGCTGTGTGCTTGGAGGTACATTCAGAGTTTCTGAATGAATATGTATTTAATATATACAATAAAGTTAAAATTTGTACTTTAAAGCTTTCAATGTGTCTGCATTTTAGAAATTGACAGTATTGCTTACTCATTAGATATATATTCTTTGAAAGATGTTAGGTTCAGGGTTATAAATGCAGTTTTTGAAATCAAGAGCAATTGCAGAGTTGTTCTATTTTCAACCATTTGGAAAATCACACTGAAGTAGATGTCATAACATACAAATCTTTGTGACTTCCCTGGTGGTCAGTGGCTACGACTCTGTGCTCCCAATGCAGGGGGCCCAGCTAGGATCCCTGGTCAGGAAGCTAGATCCCACATGCTGTAACTAAATAAATAAAAACATTAAAAAAAAAAAAAGAGCTTCTCTGGTGGCTCAGATGGTTAAGAATCTGCCTGTGAGTGCAGGAGATGCAGGTTTGATCCCTGGGTTTTGAATATCCCCTGGAGAAGGGAATGACAACCCACTCCAGTATTCTTTCTTGCCTGGAGAATTCCATGGACAGAGGAGCCTGGTGAGCCTTGAAATAGGCTATGCATGTAGAAGAAATATTTTTAAATGCCTCAGAGTCCATGTCCCAAGTATCTTGTGTTCTCTGAAGTGTTAAAGCTTACAGGTGCATCAGGGCTTTACTTACTCAGAAGTTAGAGCTTCTTTCTCAAAACCTCAAGTAATACCCAGTCTGTAACCTATTAACACCGCAGTTTTCTTTCTTTAATTTGTGTTTAGGAAATGGTTGGTTTCTTGATGATGTTGTGATCAAGGATCCCACAACGAACCGTGAATACACCTTTTTCTGCCACAGGTTGGTAGGCACGCTTTACCTTGAACAAATTCATTTCATATGAGTCAGTGTCAGGCTCATATGTTTTGGGCAAATGGAGAATTTATTCAATCACTCCTGGTCATTGGTGCTTTGTTGGGTAACTTTTTTGAACATTAATTTTAGGGGCTGTTTCTTCTGCTTGCAAAGATATCAATTGTGTTTATCATCATTCCTGATGATGCAGATTTACGTCTTTGTTCAGATTTAAAAATATGATTTCTCTTTATACATAAGTAAGGAGAATGAGGACTTCCCAGGTGACACAGTGGTAAAGAACCTGCTTACCAGTGCAGGAGATGTAAGATACCCGAGTTTGATTTCTGGTAGGGAAGATCCCCTGGAGAAGGAAATGGCAACCCACTCTAATATTCTTGCCTGGGAAATCCCATGGACAGAGGAACCTGGCGGACTGTAGTCCACGGGGTTGCAAAGAGTTGGATACGACCGAAGCAACTTAGCATGCCCACTAGCTGTTATTTCTGACCTGGCTAGATAATTACTAGTGGTTAGTGTAAATATAAATTCAGGATATACTTGATTCACTTTTCTTTGTATAGATGGCTGGATCAAGGGGAAGATGATGGTAAAATCGTCAGAGAACTGTATGCCAAGAATAACAGTATTCTCTCTGCAAGTGAGTGTCAGATGTTTCTCGGAAAACTCTGTTTTATAATGATTGAGGAAAGAAAGCTTGACTCTGCTGAAATTAATGGCCCTTTCCCTCCTTTACATCCTCAGGGCAAAAGCTGGAAGTTATTAGAAAAGAAACAGTAAGATTTTACTTTTGGCCCTAAATTATTTGGTACAAAACAGTGTTCAAGTAACTATTTGATGTGTTAAGTCAGTATATAATGTTTAGTGCGGGGTGTTTCCCAGTAACTTCTCCTGTCTGTGTTCTCATATTGGTGGTGTTTGTTTGTTTCATTTTTCTATTTAGTGGGCTGCAGAAAGCTGGAAATTTAGGAAAGGAAATACTCTTCAGTTCTACAACAGGCTTACTGGAGGGTTTGTCCGTCTGCATCCAGACAGCACAGTGGACGCAGTTGGAGAGAAGACAGACAAATACGGTAAAATCACGGGCCTAGCATGTGATGCCATGGCGGTTTTGGGAGCTGGAGGAAAGCAGGTTTCTAGACTCAGCTTAAGTTGTGCTTCTTACTTTTCAGGTGACTTTATACCAGTATTAAACCATTTAAATAATTTACTACCTACATTAACACAAATGGTCAATAGACGAGAGACTCTAAATCTTGGCAGACGATGCAGTTATGCAGACAGTACACCATGAAAACACTTATATTTGGTAATTCTTACTTGAAGAATAATATGTAGGCAATTAACATAAAGTGTTTATAAAAAATAGCATTTGTAGTTCTTGAAAGGGTATGGCCATTTAAGCAATTAAATAGGTTCTACTAAACACTGAGAGCCTGTTACTTCAAAGCACCATGTTAAACAATGTGAGGGCCACAGAAATAACCGAGACATTTTTCCGAACTCCAGAGATTCATCATCTGATACAGAAGACAAACACATACAACAATTCTAATAATGCTTGTTTGTAGTGTCAGAATGATAGTACAGAGGAAGAACTAAGCAAAGAGAAATTGCATTGGTTGTTTAATGTCAGCACGTCATGAAGCCACAACCACAAACATTCATGAAGAAGGAGTAATCCAATACTGGTAGACTGGACTATGAACCCAAACCTCCAACTCCTCTTGAAATTTTGTTGTTGTTCAGTCACGAAGTCATGTCTGACTATTTGTGACCCCATGGACTGCAGCAGACCAAGTTTTCCTGCCCTTCACTATCTCCTGGAGTTTGCTCATGTTCATTGAGGCAGTAATGTGATCCAACCATCTCATCCTCTGTGGCCTTGAAATTTAGGCCATCACTATTTAAGCAAAATCCACCTTTTGTATCTGTGGGTGTAACTTTGCTGTACCTTGTTAGAAACTGTGTCTTCAAATAACCTTGAGGATATGCAGGAGATATTAACCTCCAGCATCTCCTGGAGAAGGTAACATCCACCTCCTATTAGAGACCCCAGGGAATAATCCAACTTCCCCTTCTATGAACATGTGTGAGAATCTGAGAATGCATCCTAGTAGTTTCTCTTTTCAAAACTAGTCTATTTCTCAGACATTTTTCTCGTCTTTTGGTTCCCATTTGGAATCACTTATCTACTTAGATCCCTCAGAACGGTCCTTCATGTCATGCTCCCCAAGGTCCCTACTGCCAGTGCTGACACTCTTTTCCCTTATTGAAGAGAATGGCTTGTATTTCCAAATGTAAAAATGTCTCCCGTTTTGAAATCAGAAACCGTAAAGGATCTAAGTTTAACTCTACTTGCAAAAAACACAAGAGCACTGAGTCAAAGACCAAGACCATTATTTCTCGGAACAAATGCAGCAGGTGGAGCAGCATCTTACATTGGGTCCCCAAGTTCCCACCCCTCAGTATCATCAAGTGAAGGCCTGATGTTACCTACATACACGGGTGGGTACGTTAAAGCAGAGAAATACCCAAGGTAAGAAACTCCGGTTTTTTTCAGGGTTGCCCAGTTTTCCTTCCAGAGAAGGAGAAACAGAGTGACAGACAGAGACAGACAGACAGAAAAAGAAAAGACGAGAGTGTAAGCAAATATTCTCCAGGGAAGGGAAGGAAGGTCTTTTTCTTTACTCCCCTGGGGTGCTGAAAGAGAGGGAGAGAAATAGTGATATCAAAGCGTTACTATGCTGGAACATTTCCCTGTATGTTTTGTAAAAGGAAATGGCAATCCACTCCAGTGTTCTTGCTTGCAGAATCCCATGGACAGAGGGAGCCTGGCAGGCTACAGTCCATAGAATCACAGAAACAGTCACGACTGAGCACACAGTCACACATACATTTGCAAATCGCTTTATTCAGAGGGACTGGTCCATGCAGGAACATGACATGTGCAGGGATACTTGTCTTCTAACACCCACCCTGACAAGCTGGTTTATAGAGGGAACTCAACACTCCCACTTCAAGAAGTGGAGCGTCTGCCTCATCCCTCTCTGGGTCAGCCCTGTCTCCGTATTTTGACTAATAGAGCGAGCACGCTGTAGCTCCTAAAGTCCTTGTCTTCTGCCTCCACTTCCTGGATTAATCCTTCTTGGAAGCCAGGCCTCATGATATGGATAAACCCAGAGAGTTATGCAGAGAGGCTCCCCAGGAAAGAACTGGTGTCCTGCAGCTGCACAGACGGCAGGCTTGTGAATGTGTGTGTAGAACTAACTAACCGGTAGATGATGAAAACAGAAATTTTACTCTTAAATGTTCCCAGCATCTAAATACTCTAGTCCTACAATATATAGAGTAGAATGAGCAGTCCTAAGAAAGGCAGGTGCAGGATGGTATGAGTCATTTTCCTCAGCGTAACTGACATTTTTGCAACAGGAGGTGTTTTATGTATGATAATTACTGCAGCATTATTTCCTGATGTTATATGCCTTGTCCCGTAAATTCACATTTATGAATCAGTTTTCACTTGCCTGGAAAGGGTTGGTGATGAACAATGCTGACCCATGAACATCTTTTCAAGAAAATATTTTAAGAATATGTCTCAGATATGTTGCTTTTCATGTTCACTCCACACACACACACACACACACACACACACACACACACAATGTATTATCATGCACCAGTCCTTCTATTTAGTTATCAAGCTGGTTGTGAATTTAGCTATTTCCATGCCCAGAGTGAGAGTGCTCATTTTTCTGAGAGCTGCTGAACCATTTCTTGGCAACACTAGACCCACGAGGAGATACACAGCATGGGAAGATCATTGAAATACCACAGGAGGCTTCATTTTTACGACCATAAGCTCTTAAGAATTAAAAAAAAAATAATACTATGCCTACTCTGACAATGACCATCAAAAACAAGTCTTCCTGTCCCTAGTGTGGGATCTCAGAGCCCAAAGGAAGGCCTGGATGACAATACAAATAAGTGTTTAGTTCTAAACCATTGATGGCTACCTTATATCAGGGCCAGTTCACGAGCTTCCCATCCCCTGAAATTTCAAAAGATTTACTATAAAATACAGATTCACCTAATTCTCTTATTATATAGCTGTATTTTTCAAGGAAAAAAACATAACCTAAATTCGGACTCATTCAACTTATATTCCTAAAAGGATTAAGCATGTAATTTTATTTATTTATTTATTTATTTTAAGCACGTAATTTTAAATATACAATGTGTTACCACACTGGAAATTTCTAATGCGTCTTTGTTGTTCTCTGCAGTGTCACTATCGGAGAAGGCAATGGCACCCCACTCCAGTACTCTTGCCTGGAAAATCCGATGGACCGGGGAGCCTGGTAGGCTGTAGTCCGTGGGGTCACTAAGAGTCGGGCACGACTGAGCGACTTCACTTTCACTTTTCACTTTCATACATTGGAGAAGGAAATGCAACCCACTCCAGTGTTCTTGCCTGGAGAATCCCAGGGACAGAGGAGCCTGGTGGGCTGCCGTCTATGGGGTCACACAGAGTCGGACACGACCGAAGTGACTTGGCAGCAGCAGCAGTGTCACTATAGACCTATGTGAATAGTGGTACTTGCTGTTACTAAGTAGGTACTTAGTAGGCAAGTCGTGCCCGACTCTTTGCAACCTCATGGACTATAGCCCACCAGGCTCCTCTGTTTGTGAATTTTCTCAGGAAAGAATACTGGGGTGGGTTGCCATTTCTTCCTCCATAATGAGATTGCTCAAAATTCTCCAAGCAAGGCTTCAACAGTATGTGAACTGAGAATGTTCAGTTGTTCAAGCTGGATTTAGAAAAGGCAGAGAAACCTGAGATCAAATTGTCAGCGTCTGCTGGATCATAGAAAAAGCGAGAGAGTTCCAGAAAAGCATCTACTTCTGCTTTATTGACTCCAAAGCCTTTGATTGTGTGGATCACACAGCAAACTGTGGAAAATTCTTAAAGAGATAGGAATACCAAACCACCATAAAGTAACGCTGCTGCTGCTGCTAAGTTGCTTCAGGCATGTCCGACTCTGTGCGACTCTGTGCAACCCCGTAGACGGCAGCCCACCAGGCTCCCCTGTCCCTGGGATTCTCCAAGGAAGAACACTGGAGTGGGTTGCCATTTCCTTCTCCAATGCATGAAAGTGAAAAGTGAAAGTGAAGTTGCTCAGTTGTGTCTGACTTGTCGTGATCCCATGGACCGCAGCCTACCAGGCTCCTCCATCCATGGGATTTTCCAGGCAAGGGTACTGGAGTGGGTTGCCATCGCCTTCTCCAAAGAAAGCTGAGAGCCAAAGAATTGATGATTTTGAACTGTGGTGTTGCAGAAGACTCTTGTGAGTCCTTTGGACAGCAAGGAGATCAAACCAGTCCATCCTAAAGGAAATCAGTCCTGAATATTCATTGAAAGGACTGATGCTGAAGCTGAAGCTCCAAAACTTTGGCCACCCGATTCGAAGAACTGACTCACTTTAGAAAAGGCTCTGATGCTGGGAAAGATCGAAGGCAGGAGGAGAAAGAGATGAAAAAGGATGAGATGGTTGGATGGCATCACAGACTTGATGGAAGTGAGTTTGAGCAAGCTCCAGGAGTTGGTGATGGATAGGGAAGCCTGGTGTGCTACAGCCCATGGAGTCGCAAAGAGTCGGACACGACTGAGTAACTGAACCGAACTGAACTGACCACCTTACCTGCCTCCTGAGAAATCTGTATGCAGGTCAAGAAGCAACAATTCAAACTGGACATGGGCCAACAGACTGGTTCCATATTGGGAAAGGAATACATCAAGCTGTATATTGTCATCCCGCTACCTGTTTAAATTATATGCAGAATACATCATGTGAAATGATGGGATGGATGAAGCACAATCTGGAATCAAGATTGCAGGGAGAAATATCAATAACCTCAGATATGCAGAGGACATCACCCTTATGGTAGAAAGTGAAGGGGAACTAAAGAACCGCTTGATGAAAGTGAAAGAGGAACGTGAAAAAGCTGGCTTAAAACTCAGCATTCAAAAAATGAAGATCATGGCATCAAGTCCCATCACTTCATGGCAAATAGATGGGGAAACAATGGAAACAGTGGCAGACTTCATTTTCTTGGGCTCCAAAATCACTGAAGATGGTGACTGCAGCCTTGAAATTGAAAGACTTGGAAGAAAAGCTATGAGAAACCTAGACAGCATATTAGAAAGCAGAGGCATCACTTTGCCAACAAAGGTCCATCTAGTCAAAGCCATGGTTTTTCCAGTAGTCTTGTGTGGATGTGAGAGTTGGATTATAAAGAAGGCTGAGTGCTGAAGAAGAATTGATGCTTTTGAACTGTGGTGTTGGAGAAGACTCTTGAGAGTCCCTTGAACTGCAAGGAGATCCAACCTGTCAATCCTAAAGGAAATCAGTTCGAATATTCATTGGAAGGACTGATGCTGAAGCTGAAACTCCAATACTTTGGCCACCTGATCAAAAAACTGACTCATTTGAAAAGATCCTGATGCTGGGAAAGACTGAAGGCAGGAGGAGAAGGGGATGACAGAGAATCCTAAAGGAAATCAGTTCGAATATTCATTGGAAGGACTGATGCTGAAGCTGAAACTCCAATACTTTGGCCACCTGATGCAAAAAACTGACTCATTTGAAAAGATCCTGATGCTGGGAAAGACTGAAGGCAGGAGGAGAAGGGGATGACAGAGGATGAGATGGTTGGATGGCATCACCAGCTCTATGGACATGAGCTTGAGCAGGCTCTGGGAGTTGGTGATGTATAGGGAAGCCTGGCATGCTGTGGTCCATGGGGTTGCAGAGAGTCAGACATGACTGAGCGACTGAACTGAACTGAATAAGCCTGGGTATTTCTAAAGCTCAGGGTCCTCAGCTATAACCAGAGCCCCTCCATGTGCCTCATTCACCCGGTCCTGCTCTGCATTAACCACAGGGGACTCAGGGGATGGGGATATGTAGGAATCTGCAGCTCCTGATGCCTCCTGTGCCAGGTCTAATTAACTGTCACTGTAGCAGGCATGCTGTGTCTTTCCTGACAGTTTATGAAAGTCTGACCAGCTGACGTCACTGCTGCTCAGGGACTGTGTGCCCATGGGTTACTCTGATGTCTTCTTTGAGGCCAGCTGTAAGTTGGATGGCAAGAGGAGAGTGGACCCAGAGCCCCTAGATCATTGAGAGAGAATCTAGGAGGGCACAGCAGGGTAGGAGTAGTCACAGGTTGATGTGGGCCCCTAAGGTCTCTTGAATATGAGGCCTGGACTCCTGGGTTTCTGGCAGGTTTAGAACAAGCATAGATAGAACGTGTGAGCAGGTGCCATCCAGCCACCCCTAACAGCATCCAGTGTAAGAGGGCCTTGTCTTGCTAGGGCTCCCCAGCTCCAGGAGGTGGTTAAGGGTTTTAGAAGGATGCAAACCCAGTGTGACATACTCACGGGTCACTATGGGACCCTTGCCTTATGGGATGGAGAAATGGGATCAACCATGGGGACCTCCAGCGCTGACTTCACGAGACTTGTGTGAGCAGCAAGTCACCTCTAGCCTCACCTGGCAGACGGAGATGAGAGAGACAAGGAAACTGGGAGATAGAAGGAGGCCTGGCCCAGATCCTTGCAGGGAATTTCTAACCTTGCACCCTAGCTGAGGTGAGAAGCACTTTGAAATGTAAGACAGGGTCTTGAGGTTCCAACACACAAACTACAGCATAAAGCACTGGTCAGAGAGTTCATGCTTATGGTTTTTTTTTTTTTACATATTGAATTTAAATTATTTCATCATTCCCAAGAAATTTTGAGGGAAATTTTGCTACATTTACACTAAATTTAAATATTAACTTGGAAGGAATTGATGTTTTCACAGTATTCAATTTTTTTCTTTAGGAGTTTTTCCTCTATTAAGTTAAGACTGTGTTTATGTGTGTGTGCCTGTGCATGTGTGTGTATATATATGTATACGTATCCGGGGAGAATGGAATGGCTACCCACTCCAGCATTCTTGCCTGGGAAATCCCATGGACAGAAGAGACTAGTGGGCTACAATCCATGGGGTCTTAAGAGTCGGACACAACTTAGTGACTAAACCGCCACCGTGTATATATTTCCTCTCTTCACATAGGCACTATAACGTCTTGTTAGGGTTGTTCCGAGGCTGTGGTTAACATTGTAAATAAACCCCTTCTCATTATAAAGCTAACATATTAATATATACACATATGTAGAGATCTGTAGTTTTTATGTTTTATTTGTTCAATATTTGTTAAGTGCCCATGGTATGTCAGGTCTAGATACATACTTATCTTGAATCATACCACTTTACTCCACTCTAATTAAAGAGTTTTTAGATTTTACAAATATGATAAATTTATTTACTACCTCCCAATAGTTATATCTATTGATTTGGTTTCAAGCACTGTTCCATTGGCAAGAACATCCTTAAGAAAGTGAAATAGTGTTGGTAATATTGACATTTTCATTCTGTAATTAATTTTAATGGGATATTTTTATTGTCTTTTAAGAGTTGGGTATTTGAAAAGGCATCGATAAATAATACCATTTTCTTCCACTCCTGTGTGCAAAATCAATTAAGAAATAAGATACAGAGCACAGACGAATGGAAGTCAGAACCTCAGCTTTATTACTGATGAAACCATGTTGGGGTACTGGCTCTCTCAGGTTGGGGTAGGAGCTCACAGATCTCACCAACTCCTCCCAGAAGGAGGCGAGATTCGGGGCACCCGCTGTCTCCCCTCCGGGGGCTGTGCTCACCAGTGATGGAGAAGCTGAGAAAGCCTTCTGTGGGGCGGCTTCTCCGGGAGTAGAAAGGGCCGGAGCTGGAGCACCTGCCGCCTTGTCACCAGTTGAAGGGCTGCACCTGTCCTCTGGTTGCAGTGGGACGGAGTGTGGGCGCTGGCATGGGGGAAAGGGGTCCCCCTCTAGTTATGTGTGATTTGTAAAAACTTTTCCTTTAGCATGAAAGGAAAGTCATTTCTTATTTTACTAAGAACCCTATTAAAAGGATTTAAAAATGAACGCTAAACGTTAAGATGTTTCTCTTTGGCATCTATTGGATTCAATACATTTTTTCACATTGAACTTAAGAGTTATGTAACTTGAAAAAATTAATTTTGTTAAAACTAAATAATATTTCCATTCTTGTATTGAACTGCTTACTCATGGTGGAGAGCTCATTAACTCTATAATTTAAATGAGATTTCTAACTTTTTTGTTTTTCAACAAGTTTTGAACATTTGCCTTTGTTATTTTTTTTAATGGAAATATAGTTGGCATACAGTGTTTTGTTGTTTCAAGAGTACTGTGGAATGATTTGACAATTGCAAATGTTATGAAATGATCACTATTATAAGTCTAGTGATCATCTGTCCTCACACAAAATTAGTACAGTGTTATTGACCATATTCCTTATGATGTACATTACATCCTTGTAACTTAATTATCATAAGACTGGAGGTTTGTACCTCTTAATTCCTTTCATCTGTTTTGCCCACCCTCTACCCCCTCCCTCTGACAGCCACCCATTTGTTCTCAGTATCTATGAGTTTGTTTTGGTTTGTTTTAGTATTTAGATTTCACATGTAAGTGATATGCAGCATTTGTGTTTGTTTTGGAGGATCTAATTAGGGATCTTATCTAAAGAATGCTTCTTGAGGGCCTGCTGTGTTCTAGGCATTGTTCTAAGTGTTGGTGTTTAGCTGTACAAAGAGTGGTAAAAAAAATTCATGACCTTAAAAAAAGCTTTGTTTCAGGATAAAATGACATGTAAAAGTATACAGAAAGCTAAAAGCAATCAAATATATGATGACATAACCTTTGTCATCATAATCATACAAACCAGTCACCAATGCCCTAATAGTATGTATTTCATTTTAGAATGCATCAGTTTATTTTATCTCAAATCTCTGGGACTTGAAAATGGACATGGGTTTTCACACTAGGATAATTTGTCTTCCTGGCAACAGTTCCGTTGAGTGTTTTTTGTTTTTTGCTTTCTTTTGGATTGTCTCAGGAGTTTACTGTTTATTTTGGGAAGGCATTAGATATTTTCCTTGGAAATGCCACCAGATGCCAAGCAACATGTAGATTATTAAAGGTTACCAGCATTCTTCTACCTTTTGACTGATTAAAAACATTTAACTGAGAGATGTCATAAAATGTATTTTTAGGAGGTTTCAATGTATAATTCAATAAGAAAAAAGCTTTAAAAGCACGAATTGTTGTTAATACTTAAAACGTTTTATAGGTTTCTTTGACGTTATTTTCAACAAAGGAAATGTATGCATTTTCCAAAGTCATGAATTGAGGCACCTTTCTCTGGCTCTTGACAACGGCTCCGTCACTGGAATGGTATGTAGTAATCTTTCTTTTTGCCATGTGTCAAATATATATAATATATTCTTGCACAAGACACTTTTATAACATTACGAATTTGTATTTTCCTTTGGCTTTTGCTTCCACTTTTTTCATGTTGTTTTGTTTCACTGATTTTTGAGATTTTGATGTGTAAATGACCTTAAATTTCAGCAGTTAAAATTTATACAAGAAAAAGTAGAAAACGTCTCTGAGAACATTCAAAATTTCAGTGAGCCTCAAAATGGGAAATCTGACCACTCAAAGGCCCCTCCAGGGATCACATTATTAGGGGAGAACCAATAGTTTCACATAATTATGCCTTGTATTACTTGGTTGGGCTTCCCTGGTGGCTCAGTTGGTAAAGAATTCACGTGCAATACAGGAGACCCAGGTTTGATCCCTGGATTGGGCAGATCCCCTGAAGAAGGAAATGGCTACCCACTCCAGTATTCTTGCCTGGGAAATCTCATGGACAGAGGAGCCTGGTGAGCTGCAGTCCATGGGATTCCAGTATTCTTGCCTGGGAAATCTCATGGACAGAGGAGCCTGGTGGGCTACAGTCCATAGGGTCGTGAAGAATTGGACACTACTGGAGCAGCTAAGCACAGCACAATTCAATATGCTTTGTGTATGAGATTACTTAGTTTAGGTTTGAAAGGAACCCAAAGCTGGTGCTCAGTGACAACCTTGAGGGGTGGGATGGGAAGGGAGGTGGGAGGGAGGTTTAAGAGGGAGGAGACGTAGGTATACCTATGGCTGATTCATGTTGATATATGGTTGAAACCATCACAGTATTGTAAAGTAATTATCCTACAATTAAAAATAAAATTTTAAAAAATATGTAAAACTTCTAAAAATGTCTTTTTAAGATCCATGTATGATTATTTGTTTTGAAACTGAGAAAGCATAGGATGACATGCCGTGTCTTAAGTGCTAACTATGTGTGATAACATTTAGCCTTTTTATCTGTCCTGTGAGAGAGTGCATTAGCATCCCTTTCTGACAGAAGAGGAGCCTGACGGGGGGAAGACTGTGTTGTCCAAAGTCTCAGAGCTAATCAGTGTGAAAGCAGGCACCAAGCACCGACGCCTGGACTCCACCCCTCATTCTACAGCTTTCTCATGTAATGTTACATAATTTTATGCAATGCCTTTTTAAAAACTTTTTATTTTTTCCATTTATTTTTATTAGTTGGAGGCTAATTACCTTACAATATTGTAGTAGTTTTTGCCATACACTGACATGAATCAGCCATGGATTTACATGTATTCCCCATCCCGATCCCCCCTCCCACCTCCCTCTCCACCCGATCCCTCTGGGTCTTCCCAGTGCAGCAGCCCCGAGCACTTGTCTCATGCATCAACCTGGACTGGTGATCTGTTTCACCCTTGATAATATACATGTTTCGATGTTGTTCTCTCGAAACATCGCACCCTCGCCTTCTCCCACAGAGTCCACAAGTCTGTTGTGTACATCTGTGACAATGACTTTTTTTAACTTATAGCTTGTTTTTAAACTTAAGGATAGCAATAAATTTTGAAGAGAAAACATGATCTGTAGCTAAGTGACTAATCAGTCACCTTTTTTTTTTTTTTGACAATATTGACCATATTTATTTTGTCACAAATCTTCAGTTGGGCAGAGAAGGTAGCACATCTCTCTTCCTCTCAGCATCAAGTGAAGTGACTGAAATGTTAGAGATTGGAGTCATCGAAGGCTTGTTGAGTCGCAGGCCTGGTAGTCGATGCCAGCTCTCAGTGGAACAGCTATGTGTGGTCCTTCCTTCAGTGCAGCTGCTGACTCTCTCACAGTGTGGTAGCTACATTCCAGGACAAAGATGCCAAGAGGGGAAATAGTCAGGGGGAAGCTGTATTGCTTTTTTTAAAAAAATTATTAATTAATTTACTTACTTGCTTCACTGGTGGCTCAGATGATAAATAATCTGCCTGCAGCATGGAAGACCCAGTTCCATCTCTGGGTCGGGAAGATCCCCTGGAGAAGGAGCTGGCAACCCACTCCAGTATTCTTGCCTAGAGAATCCCATGGACAGAGGAGTCGGGCAGGCTGGAGTCCATGGGGCTGCAAAGACTCAGACATGAATCAGTCACATTTCTTTCATGGTGTCTTTTCTTTGCTTTGGACTTAGCATGTTACCCCATGCTGTTTTTTATACTTATTTTTATTTTGGCTGCACTGGGTTTCAGTGGTGGCATATGGGATTTAGTTTCCTGATCAGGGGTCAGACTGGGGCACCCTGCATTGTGAGCTTGGAGTCTTAGTCATAGGACCACCAGGGAATTCCCCCATGCTGTATTTTATAGTGCATTCTGCTTCATAATGTCCTAGTCAGTAGAAGCTTAATAAAGATGAATGGTGTGGGTATGGAATCCCCTCAAATTAAGAGTTCAATAAATGTTCTATTTATTTTTCTAAGATCAAATAAAATCTCTCTGTAAGCCCCTATCCCTCTAGGTTGGAGAAAAATCCCACCTTGGTTATTATGAAGGTCACCTTGTTGTATACACGTTTCATCTGGTGTGTCGGATCTCTGAATAGCTGGTGACAACTCTTTTACCTTCAGTCCACACACCAGATGAAATGTGGCTCACTGCCCATGTTCTCATCAAACATCAGGTGGTTTCTTGATGAACAGCTCTGTGACTTACATCTCATCCTCACACAAGAAACTTCACTGAGGTTGGCAGCCTTAGTGTCATGGATCAAGCCTTTCAAGTGGCATCAATAAGTCCTTCAGGCCCAGATGCCTCCTTGAGACAGTGAGAAGTCAGACCTCAAACAGTGTCCCAAACTAGAAATGTCTCACTATAGTTTATCTTCCTTGATTTGTTCAGTTTTTCACAAGCAAAACCTAGTAATACATATCTGTTAATTTTATCTTTTGATCCCATGTAGTCTTTAATTAGGAAGACACAAAAGAAGAAATGAAAAATAATGATAAAATACACGTTAACATCTCAATAAATTATCCTGCCACTGGAGTTATTTTTGCTGCTATTTAGTATTCTACATGGTTTCTGAGAAATCAAGATAAGGTCCTCGGAGCAAGACCCTGGAAATCAGGGTGGGGGATCACAAGAATTGAATCAGAAAACATGTCACTGTTGTGCAGCTAGTTCAAGGGTTCCACGGAGTGCATCGGATCTGTGCACACATAGAGTGTCAACACATTTTCTATTGCTTATGCGGAGCTTTCATTTTGTTTTGTTTTCCTTTTTTCTTTTAGGCTAGTGGTGGAGCCTCCACTGAGATGCGGGTGCTGTCTCAGCCCAACCGCTGTGCACTCCTTGAGTCAGCACGGGTTCCCGGCCACTTGGTTATTTTTGATCGCCATGGCAAAATAACTAATGAATCATCAGCAGGCTACGCAGACCTTTCAAAAGAGTTTGTGGTTTTTGTCAAGGTAAACTGGAGGGAGGTCATCAAAGCTGATACTGCTAAACTTGTATTTTCTTTTGCCCTCTTGTGGAGAACTCTTGAATGAAGTCACAATGGAGAAATCAGATCTCTTTCCACTTGGGGCATTGATGCCTGGTCATTTTGTCCACCCAGAATGTGGTCCTAGGGACGGCAGCCTTAGTAAAACTAAAATGATGGGAGTAACAGCCAATATCAGTTGAATTTGCAGGTTAAAACTATGGCTGTGGGGATTTCAAATAAAAAGAGAATCTTACATTTGGGAATGAAACAAATCTATATTTAACTTTTCTAACGGTTAGAATATTTATGTGAGTGTTGTATGTGTGTGATCATTTCGTATTGCTTATGTTTCTTCCTTTGTAATACACGTTTGTGAATTTATCTTTTTATCTTTAAATGATATTATTAATACAATAGCTATCGTATGAGATTGCTTGTTTTATTACAGACACTTTACTGAGAGCTTCACTACATACAATACTAAATCTAATCACCATGACATTTCTGACAGATATTGTTATCTACATTTTAAAAGTAGAGAGAATGTTTTCTGAGAAGTTACAACTTTTAATGAGTATAACATAGCTAGTCTGGTGAATTATGAATCCAGTCAGTCAATTTTTCTTCAAAACTTTTTAGACCTACTATGTAATAAACACTTCATTATATTATTATTTTCCCCAGACAACATGGTTTTTAATGGTTGCATAATATTCAAACGTTAGGAAAATATGAATTTGTCATTGGACATTTAATCTTAATTTCTTTATTTTATTACTTCTAATATATTACTGGGAAATGTACTTGGACTTATGTCTCTGACAACATATTTTATTATTTTCTTAGCCTAGATCATTCAAAATTGAATTGAAAGGTCAGAATATGAGTCCTTTAAGACTCTTGACAACATACTGACAAATCTCTTTCCAGAAATGTAGCAATACTTGATCCTGGGAAAGTCAAATCATGACGCTAGAGGGGACAGTTGACATGACCACCCTCGCTTCTGACAGGGACTTCAAAGTGAAGGATTCTTGAGGTCACTATCAAGCTTTGATAATTCATCGGAATGACCCAGAACTAAATCAGTGCTCTCACATTCATGGTTATGGTGTATTACAGAGAAAGGATGCAGGCTGACATTCACTAAGGAAAGAGATGCAGAGGGCAGAGTCCAGGAAAAGCACCAAATGCGGGAATTGTGGTTGTCCTCTTCCCCGGAATCAGGGCAGCGTGACTTTCTTTGCACTGAGGTGTGACGATATTCATGGAGCACTGCCAACCAGGGAGGCTCACCCGAGAATTGGGCCCAGAGGCTTTCCTGGGATCCCTCACATAGGGAGTCCATATGGCCAGTCTCAGTCTCTAACATTCACTAAGGGAAGAGATGCAGAGGGAAGAGACCTCTTGGGAGGTCAGCTGACACCTTGTTACGCAAAGTTCCCACCCTAAGTCACATCTTTACTATCTGGCTGACCCAAGGCCACCAGGCAAGCAAAGACACTCCTGTTAGGCACAGCACCCCTAGGTTTGGCGATTACTTCTCAGAAACCTAGGACAACGGCCAGACCGCTCCAGGTAAAATCATGCTCTTTACTACCAAGTTCCCTTTGACAGAGCAGAATTATATTAATATCATGGACCTTGGTGTTGAGTATGGCAGTCCTTGAAAGAAACTTTGACAGTCTTCTAGAGAAATAAAGGTTTAATTTTCACTTCATTATTATTACTAGTATAGATTATTTTTCTTTCTGCAATTCATCATTTATATTTTGTGACTTGTGTATTTGTGTCTTTTATTCATTTTTCTACTGTGTTAGTATGTTTCTAATTAACTTTCAAGAACTTTTTATATCTTCCTCTTAAGCTATTGCTTATATGCAGAATATATCATGTGAAATTCTGGGCTGGGTGAAGCACAATCTGGAATCAAGATTGCAGGGAGAAATATCAATAACCTCAGATATGCAGATAACACCACCCTTATGGAAGAAAGTGAAGAGGAACTAAAGAGCCTCTTGATGAAAGTGAAAGAGGAGAGTGAAAAAGCTGGCTTAAAACTCAACATTCAAAAAACGAAGATCATGGCATCAAGTCCCATCACTTCATGTCAAATAGATGGGGAAACAATGGAAACAGTGGCAGACTTCATTTTCTTGGGCTCCAAAATCACTGCAGATGGTGACTGCAGCCTTGAAATTAAAAGACACTTGCTCCTTGGAAGAAAAGCTATGACCAACCTCGACAGCATATTAAAAAGCAGACACGCATCAATCACTTTGCCGACAAAGGTCCGTCTAATCAGAACTATGGTTTTCCGAATAGTCATGTATGGATGTGAGAGTTGGATCATAAAGAAAGCTGAGCACTGAAGAATTGATGCTTTTGAACTGTGGTGTTGGAGAAGACTCTTGAGAGTCCCTTGGACTGCAAGGAGATCCAGCCAGTTAATCCTAAAGGATATCAGTCCTGAATATTCATTGGAAGTACTGATGCTGAAGCTGAAGCTCTTTGGCCACCTAATCAAAGAACTGACTCATTTGAAAAGTCTTTGATGCTGGGAAAGATTGAAGACAGGAGGAAATGGGGACGACAGAGGATGAGATGGCATCACCAACTTTGTGGACATGAGTTTGAGCAAGCTCCAGGAGTTGGTGATGGACAGGGAGACTTGGCATGCTGCTGTCCATGGGGTTGCAGAGAGTTGGCACAACTGAGCGACTGAATTACTTAATTTGACTTTAGTTGTATCTGATACTTCTTTTCATTCATTCATTTATTCCTCCATGCATGCGTGTGTGAGTGCCAAGTCACTTCAAGCATCTTTGATTCTTTGAGACTTTATGGACTGTAGCCCACCAGGCTCCTCTGTGCCTGGAATTCTCCAGGCAAGAATACTGGAGTGGGTTGCCATGCCCTCCTCCAGGGGATCTTCCTGACACAGGGATCAAGCCTGTATCTCTTATGTCTCCTGCATTGGCAGGCGGGTTCTTTACCACTAGCACCTGGGAAGCCCCTCCTGCATGCATATATTTAACTAATATCCATAGATTACTTGTCAAAATTCAAGCACTCTTATAGAACACTATTTTTATTCTTCTCTGTATTAGTATTCAAACTATTTACTTAGAGTGATTGGAGACTTCTTAAGAGTTTGTGGGTTTTGCATCTTCTTAAAATCTCTGTAGCATCTGATGCTGATTCTTACAGTCTCAATGAATAATGATGAATGTAAATCATAATGAGTCAACCAGACCACCTTCTTTAGTTTTGTTTAGCTTTACAGAACAGTTACATTTTTTATTTCCTTTTTTTTTGCTCATTCTTTCCCACCAAGCTTCTGCTAAGATCCTGATCACTGCAGCTTTTGTAAGAAAATGGGCTCTATTGCCATATTTCTCTAGCAAGACACAGGCGTGTCACTTACTGCCTCTCTGTGCTGTTGGTTGCTCTGCAGGGTGTGTTGCTCAACAGCGCAGTGGTTCTGCTTGCCACCAGCCTGTGCCAGGCCCTCTGCCTCCTGCCGGATGGGAGCTGCACAGGCGTGGGAAAGCCGTCTGAAAAGTCCTACTGGAGAGTGCATAAAATCAGCTCTGGGATCTGCATGTTTGAAAGTGTGAAGAATGCACGGATGTTTCTGAGGATTAAGGACGGACGGTGTGACGGAGCCGTAAGCATCTGCTCATGTTTTTCTCAGCGAATGTCTAAGACACTTGCCAAGAATTGCTACGAGTGTTGCTTGCTTGAGTGTTTTGCTTTTTAGTTTTGACCTATGAGCACTCTGGAAATTGGATGTGCTACGTGGTGGCCCCCCTTGACTGGTGGTGTTAATATGTGGTGGGGGGTGAGTGCCCTCTTAGTGTGACCAGAGAGGGTCCTGACCCTCAGACACTGCTTCTGAAATGAAAGGTGCATGCAGATCACCAGGGAGTAGTGTTAGAAAATGGGTCCTGACTCAGATAGACTGCGCCAGGACCTGTGTGTCTGTGTTTCTGACGAGCATCCAGCTGCTGTTGTTGAGTCAGGCCCCAAACCACACTTTGAGAACCAAGGCTTTGGGAAGTCCCAGCTCAGCTGTGTTTCCTGAACTGCTTGCTTGGAACCTGAGTTCCCACCAGTGGATAGCCTGCTCTGTGAGTAAGGAGGTAATTTTTTTTTTTTGGCAGCACCCCATGACATGTGGGATCCTTGTTCTCTGACCAGGGATTGAACTGGGACCCCCTGCTCTGGAAACACCAAGTCTTAACCACTGGTCCACCAGGGAAGTCCCAGAAAGTAACTTTATGCTCTAAATATTAGGAGTTTTTCCTTAATATCTTGTAACTCTGGAGGGGGCATGTAAGGCAACTAATATCACATCTTTTATATTTTTGTACATCTCTTGACAGGTTGAGGGGCACATACAGTTACCATTTAGCAAGTCTAAATACTAAAGTCTAATACTAAACTACTACTAAGTCTAAATACTAATACTAGACTTTAGTATTAAAGTCTAATACTCTGCTCATCTGTTTTCATTTGAAAGAGTTTGGTTTAAACTGTGTCTTTTGGATAAACTTGGAGATGCTCCCTATCCCCCCTCTCCTTACCAGGGGGGCATCTCTCTGTTTGGGAGCGTTTGCGTGAGCTTCTGGTTGGACAGGAGGGAAGACTTAGACCATTCATGGTTCCATGTCCTTGACTTCATTGCGGATGGGCCCTCTGTGTCTGGTGAGCTGCACTGGTGTGCACAGTGCAAAAGTGAAAAGCACATGTACACACGCATGTAATTAGCATCCTGGATCTGTTCACAAGAGCATTGTGAAGTGGGCATGTCCCATGTCACAGAGAGACAGAGTCCTGTTTATGGCCTTTAAAACTGGCAAGTGGACGAACTGAGACGAAAATGGTTACCAGCTCTACTGTGGCCAAACTGTGGGAGGTGAGATTTCATCATGCCTGGTCACCTCCAGGAAGCCGCCTTCCTTGCCATCACCTACATCCACAGAATGGACAAGCCTGTTTCTTCTGGGGCTCGTGGGACTGCTCAGAACCAGGAGACAGAAGGTGTGTTGCTGCATGACACATGTCTTTATGTGCATGTGTTTCAGGGTTTCTGGAGGCAGTTCATGGAGGCACAGATAAGTGTCACCCCAAACTGCGGATGGGCCAGCCCTGAAATCTGTCTTCCTGTGACGACAACCAAAGGGCCAGCTTGGTGCTCAGCCACCTTCCGTGTGGCTGCCTCATCCTCTGGTTGGATGGGGCTTCTCTTGGTTCTTCCGTTTCTCCCTTTCCAGTCTGCGGGGGCCTCTCTGTCACTTCCGTTTCTTCCTCCGCATGGTGTTTCTCTTGTCCCTCCAAGCGAGGACGCCTCTTCTGCAAGCGTGGAGCAGAATCTTGGCTCTGTCCATGCTCCTCTGAACACTTAGGCTTCCTTCTCTTTCCTCCCTCCTGCCAGGTGGGTGACTCAGCGCTCTGACCAGCTGAGGGAATGGAAGGAGTCCTGGTGGAAGGCTTTGCTGAGCATAGGAAGATGAGCAGAAATGAACAGATTAACACAGGGGAGTGTTATCCTAACATAGAGGAACTGGCTGAGTGATTGTCCACAGCTGCCTTGGTGTCAGAGCTCAGTCATACCAGGTCCACCCACCTCCTGTTGTGGAGGATTCATGGTATCAGCATGGAGAAACTGGGTTGATCTCCAAGAGGAAACTGGAGTCAGGATACACCACAGGGAGGTGATTCCAAAAGACAAAGTGTTTTTCTTCAGCAATTTTTCTAGACCCAGCCTTGCTGACAGCTTTTCAGATGAAGAATTGGGTCTGAAATTGTTTCTGCTCAGGCTGTTTTGTGCTCTAACCAGCACGAGGACCAACCCCCTGCCCCCACCCCTCCCACCCCGCCATGGACTTCTCAGGATGAAAAGCTAGGTTCAGGATTTCCTGTGCACTTTGGAACTGAGGCCAGTAATCATGTATTGTAGTTTTAAACTCAAGTAGCATCTCTTAGAGATTTTTGATAACTTGAAGAAAACAGAGGTTCCATTTGCTTTTAGACAGTAGTGTTAGTCACTAAAGTCCTGCCCGACTTTGAGACTGCAAGGACCGTAGCCCACCTGGCTCCTCTGTCCATGGGATTCTCCAGGCAAGAATACTGGAGTGGGTTGTCATTTTCATCTCCAGGGGATCTTTCCAGCCCAGGGATTGAACCCACATCTCCCGAACTGCAGGCATATTCTTTACCATCTGAACCACCAAGGAAGCCCATTTCACCTTTTAGTATTGTTATTACAGTATTGTTATTATGATTATTTTAATAATAAAGTCAAGAATTTGAACTTTATTTGATTATCTTCATTTCAAATTTGCTTTTACTTTTCCATGGCAATTCAGGAAGCTTTTTCAAAAAATGTTTGTGTATATTCTTATTTTTTCTTTGGCCATGTGGCATGTGGGATCTTATTTCTGCAACAAGGGATCAAACCCATGCCCCTTAGATTGGAAGCACAGAATCTTAGCCTCTGGACTGCCAGGAAAGCCCTTATTTTGGTATTATTAAAAAGAAGAGCACGGGCCCAAGAGTCACTTATGCTGGGCCGTGTCACCGAACCTGGACTTGATTAACCTGATTGAAGTTTTGTTGTTTAGTCGCTAAGTTGTGTCCGACTCTTTGTGGTCCCATGGACAGTAGCCCACCAAGTTCCTCTCCATGGATCCATGGGACTCTCCAGGCAAGAATACTGGAATGGGTTGCCATTTCCTTCTCCAGGGGACCTTCCTGACCGAGGAATTGAACCCGTGTATCTTGCACTGGCAGGTGGATTCTTTACCACTGAGCCCCCAGGGAAGCCCAACTGAAGTTTTACCCTCCCCCAGAAACGGAGTCCTAGCTGATCGGTTAGGGATTTTCTGTAGTTACCTCAGCTCCAGTGAGGTAATCTATCATGTGGGCCCTTTCCATCCCCCAAAGGAAGGTGAGGTAACCCATCTAATAAGACCCTTCTGTCCCCAAAGGGAGATGATTTAATCTAAAATAAGCTTTTTTTGTTTATGACTCTCCTGCCTTACCTTTAGAACCCTCTTCACTTGGCAGCCCCCCCCAACCCAGTCTCCCCTCCATGTGCTCTGTGGGGCGCTACCTGACTCATGACTCATTGAAAAAGCCAATTAGATCTTCAGGATCTACTCAGTAGATTTTATGTGATTGTCAGTACTTTCGCAGAGAGACGCCTGCACAGAACTCTCATCATGTGTATGTTACTTCTGCCGCTTCCATTGTAGTGTTTTCTTTCCATCATAACTTGTCTAGTGACCCTTCAATATTGCTGTCCAACTAAAACTCTCCCCCTGAGATTTTGGTAGTGATGTTGATTAGGTTTGTGGCCTCCTTAACAGATATTTACTAGAGGCCAGAGAAGAAATTCAGGCAAGGCTTTATTGGGGTTCCCACTTCAGCAGGTGGAGAAGGAAATGCAACCCACTCCAGTATTTCTTGCCTGGAGCATTCCATAGACAGAAGAGCCTGGCGGGCTACAGTCCATGGGGTCACACAGAGTCGGACATGACTGAGCACCCTGCCACAGGGGGGAGTGAGAACAAGTAACAGGTGCCCTTGCTCACTGCCTGAGGTGGGTGAGCTGGTTCCTTCTAGGGTGAGGGGGTGTGTCCACAGGTCGGGCAGGAGGGGTGGCTTAGATGATTTGCCCACCCTTTATGTGGTGGTGTGTGTAGGGGGCATGTGTAGTCCCCTACTTTTGCTCCGATCTGTTTAGAAATGGCAGTTGGGGGGTCTCAGTCTCTTTGTATCTTTTGTCCAGGATTTGCCCTGGCCTGTGCATGCATGCAGTTATTTTTAATCCTGTATAGTTTGTTTCTATTTGTTGTTTGAGGAGATGTTTGTCCAGGTGCAAGCGTTTCAGCACTGCAAAAGGGTCCCAGGTTCCAGCCTGTCTCCATGGTGGGTCTTTTTCCTCAGAAAGCATGTGTTTTTTTTTTTTTTTTTGCTATTAGGAGCTATTATTGATACATAACAATCAGGCACATTTTTGTTCACTTTCACTGTATCTGATCAGAAATCCCTGGGCTGGAATGACTTCACTTTTGAAGAGAGAATGGTAGCAATTATCTTAATTACCCTGATTTACAAAGAGGCTGGCGTAAGGCATGCTTATGATCTCCAAGGGAATTGAAGATGCAGCGGACATTACTATACCTTAAATACTTGACTGTGCCTCAGTCTTGGGAGCTACTCTGCAGATGCTGATTGTAGAGATTGAATTGAATAAAAGCATTAATGTTTGCAATGTGTCTGCCATTGTATATTTGAAAACATTTCTTACAGGCAAACACACTTATGTTTAAACCAAGTGATGCTGATCCTGTAACAAATGTTTCTATTTCTGTTACCATAAAATTGTTATGCCGTAGGAGTAAATCACTTTAATAGATTTGGGCTTAGAAGGGATTCAAGGTGGCATGAATGCAAACTGCTTGCCTTCACTAGGAACAATTGTATGGTTTTTAATATATAGAAGAGAAACAGGCCTCAAAACAACCTAGGTAGAACTTGTCACTAAACGTGAATACGAAGGGGAAAAAAGGTGTAGGATTTGTAGGAAAGACAAGCTGAAGAGTGACCAGGAAACCAAAGACAATGTACCACAGACACATCCCATACCAGTAGGATCCTTGTTTGTTGGCAAGAGTTTAGTTTGTAGAAAGTAGGCATGATTCTCTCATCTCAGTTTTATCTAATGTTGCCTCTTCACTCAAAATACATTTCTACACATGAAAATAACTAGAAAGTTAAAGACTATTCATATTTTGATGAAGTTGCTTATG